CATGTGTCAACCAAGTCAGCCTGACCACCCGATCCCGTTAGTCGCCTCTTTCGACAAGCATGGGTTACTGAAGATCAATTTTATCTCGGATCTTCACGGGGCAATAGTCTACCAACACCTGGATGAAGGCTTTGTCTCTGAAAATGTATAATCTTGATAGAAACATTGAGATGGGAGTCTTTGAACTTGTGTAAAATCTAGCCTTAGTAAATTATAAATATTATGTGTATTGATGCAACCCTGGACAGAGGTGCGTGATCAAAGCGCAACATTATTATCCAGGTCATTGACCGATCGCGTGATCAATATGCTTGTGATTTTCAGCCACTCTGGGGAGTATACAGCCAAAGCTGCCTTAGCGAGTGCTAGAAGGTCAACAGTCGCCATCTCATCCTTCCGGGTACCCACTGTACTGCTTGGTGATCAAAGGCATATTTCGAGCTAAGTCACTTGCCTCAGGGGTCACCCCATATAATATTGTACGTGTTAGACATGATATCGATATCGAAAATGCTACACTTAGGGCTAGAGAATTACAGTAAGAGCTGGCATTAGTGAGTGAGTTGGGTTTTATGCCGCCTTTAGTAACGTTCCAGCAACATCACGACACTAGACACCAGAATTTCAGCTGGGGACATCACATACTGAAATGGGGGAAATGGGCTTCACTTATTATACCCATATTGGGAATCGAACCCAGGCCTTCGACGAGAGGAGCGATAGCTTCAAACACTGCCACCTCGGGCTTAGAGGAGTAGCCTCTCACCCAGAACCTTAAGAATAAATTAGGAAAGAAATCCACCACAAGTCTAAATGAAGTCTGAAATTAAGCTCTAGTCTGGGCTCCATTAGGATTTAATGTTATTTGCAGATTTAATGTTATTTGCATGGATATATATTTGTAAAGATAATAACTCTATTTCTGATACTAACCGCTCGTCGCAGTCGAAGGGAAAATGAGAGGGCTCAGGGCAGTGAGATAGACTCGTGAGCAGGTCATGCTTTGTATAGTGACAGCGAAAGACATTATCTGTGATTGCCGAAGTGCTGTGGTAATGACAGGCAGGACAGTGGAACGCACTCCGTGCCTTAGAAGCTTTTCTTCACAACAACGACGACCCGTTGCCGTAGTTCAACGTTACAGTCCACGCGCGTATTATTTTATGACAGACTACAAATAAAGCGTCCACAATATACGTTGAATGTGGCATTTGTGTGATCTTAAGTCCCTGGCTATTGTATTTATTGCTGAGACGATCACAGCTGAAATAGGATATTTATGTCTATCGGCAACTGATGTGTCAATTTCACTTAACCTCGTTTTCACTTGTCAGTCGTGATCGTCTACATGTATATATCTTCGTACGTGCGGCCTAGTTTATGACATGCGCAGTTTCTGTTTATGTCCTGTCCTTGCTAACGCACTTGCTTCTCAGCCATAAGTATATATTAAATATACGTCAATATCATCTGACAGAAGTATAGCTACCATAACGGTACCGACAGGAAGAACATGTTTGTAACGAGATCCTAATAACTAACTGTAATTTCCACAAAAGCACAAGTACAAGCAGTAGTACATTTGATATCATCTTTTGTGTGTACATAATATATTAAAGATTAAGTTTTACCTACAATATTTACCTACAGCTGAATACAAATTTCAGCAATGCTATTTTATAGTAATTAACCTGTTTGGATGATAAAAAGGGTAAATGTTTTAGAGTCGCTGTTTTTATTTCATTTATGAGAGAGATTGAGAGAGAGAGAGATTGAGAGAGAGAGAGAGAGAGAGAGAGAGAGAGAGAGAGATGAGATAGAGAGAGAGAGATGGGGAGAGAGAGAGAGAGAGGGAGGAGAGACTGAGAGAGAGAAGAGAGAGAGAGAGAGAGAGAGAGTGAGAGAGAGAGAGACTGAGAGAGAGTGAGATAGAGAGAGAGAGAGAGAGAGAGAGAGAGAGAGAGAGAGAGAGAGAGAGAGAGAGAGAGACAGAGAGAGAGAGAGAGAGAGAGAGAGAGAGAGAGAGAGAGAGAGAGAGAGAGAGAGAGAGAGAGAGAGAGAGAGAGAGAGAGAGAGGAGAGAGAGAGTGCAGAAAGAGCCACGTTTGAAGTTAAACATTTTAAGTAGAGATAATATAACTAAAAATAGTTAAACATTTTAAGAATGACTCAACACATATAGAAACAGATGTAGTAGTAAATTAACATACAAAATATCCAAAACCATATTCGTGTGTAGTCTTGAACCCTATATTCCGAGGTATTTCTTGAACACACAAACAGATTACGCGTCGTTATGTAATTATCTCCCTTCACCTGTACGCAACCGCTTGTCAGAGGAAACCTTTACGTCACCCTTGCAAGACTATCATATGATTAATCTCTTGCACACCCACCTAACCTTCTTTTATATACTTATTGTATATTCATAATTTGAGCTATGGATTTTAAGAAACTTATATAATATCGTTGAAATAAGTATTCAACAACGTGTTACTGAAAATGACAGCTCCGAGCTCCATAGTAACACGCAAAGTTAACCAGATCACCGCCTGCAGCTAAGATCATAAATTGGTACTAAAACTGGCAAAAAGATCGATTCCAGGTCATTGATTGAAAGCAATATAAGTTTACCCATCCATATATAAATGAACATTTTCATGATTATTATTACGATTGTAGGGGCATTTAATGTATCAACAATATGCATGTGCTTTTTAATGTGTGTTTAAACAATATAATTGACATTTCACTTTTAAATATGACACTACTGTGAAAAATTAACCTTTGTAGGATCAATAATTTTCTGTGATGGAGGCACTTTCTTGGTATCACATACACCCATGTATTTTAATGCTTATATACAGTCACCATCATCATCATGATCATCATCACCACCAAATCATCGTCATCATCATCATCATCATCATCAATATCTGCAGCGGCAGCATTTATGTCAGTGTTGTTGCACATAACGTGTCTTTTTGCAAAGTCACAGCTTTTCCTTAGAAACACAATCTACGTCAAACTTAATAAGAAAACACCTGTGCTAACGCTCATCAAAACGCCCTATTGTCACGAAGGGTTGTCAATAGCTTATCTCTTGCACATCAATCAATGCCTCAACTGGCAAAACAGCAGCTATTTCAGGTGCGCGGGCTTAATTGATTCAATACAAACACGAAGAGCCTCGTCTTCAAACTCTCAAAACAACTTGTGGTATTCGTGTTAAATTGTTTTCGTCTACGCGAAACCTACAGCATTCTCTTTCCAGCGCTTCATTCACAAGACGAAAACCATCACCATCACTGTACTGAATATTGCCGAGTCCCTGGTCTGTTGCTAACCGCTACTGCGCAAGCGCTGGATATTTGCCAGCCTCTCTTATATTGAAGCGCTCTAAGCTTCTGCCATATATGGAATGTGACATTGACCTACAGTTCGGCAAATCTGGGTTAATAGTGGCACGACGTAAACAGTCGGACCATCCAGTGTGATAAATTGGTTTGTTTAGATTGTGTTATCAGCAGTGGTCCGTCATTTAAGGCTTGTAACTATGTGTACGGCATTGTTTGATTTGGGATGTCTATCTGTTGGTAGTACGGACGAGTATATTTGACCAACGTATTCGTTTCTCTGTTTCTATGTCACATTTCAATATTTCGAGTCAAAATAAAATAAACTGATTTCCTTTTATGCAATTCTGGGGCAGAAAATCGAATTTTATGCATTTTAATCGGTTGTTTTCGAGGTTTAATTTCGAATTGCTCCCCATGGTGATTTGAAACCTGACTTGCACTGAACGGACGGAGTCTGTTTAAAGCAGATGGTGAATATAGTTTTGTGACCAAGATATCGATCTATGTATGTTTGTATTTTGGCTAAAAATACACTCAACATCATTGCAGCTGTATGGCGGGTTTCTGTAATTAATGGAGTCTGGACCAGACAATCCAGTGACTGACATCATGAGCATCGATCTACGCAATCAACCAAGTCAGCGAGCCTGATCATCCAATTAAATAAACATGGATTGCCGTGTCCTAATGTCTCCATTGAACCCCAGGGGCGGTGGGCTAGCCTAGTGGTTAAAGCGTTCGCCCGTCACGCGGAAGACCCGGGTTCTTTTCCAACATGGGTACAATGTGTGAAGCCCATTTCTGGTGTCTCCTGCCGAGATGTTGCTGGAATATTGCTGGAATATTGCTAAAAGCGACGTAAAACTAAACATTCACTCCTGGAACCACGAGTTATTAAAGACATGTATGATTTATTTTTTTCTATTTTGTGCATATCTTGCTTTTACTGTTTCTAACTAATTTCATTACACGTCTTAAATCAAAGTAAAAAAACCCGACAACTGTTATAAATGTTAAGATTGATGTTATATGTTTAAGGTTTTTTTAAAAAAATGAATTGGCTTCATCCATTTTTGTTTAATTTCACATTTGACTTGTCAGTGACTTGAGCGTAAGATGTAGTTTTGTCACGCAGTGCAAAAGTTAATCTTATAACTTAGTTTATGTAACATCACATTCCTCATGCCTCATTTTAGAAAGATTTCATTTTTTCAGCTAACCAAATCTAGTTATATAATCTTAACTGCTTTATTTTTTATGCAGTCGTGATTGATGAATTGTCAATGTGTTATTTTTAATGGATCAATTCAACATTAATACATCTTCGACCAGTAAAAAAGTCGCAGACTGTCAGAGAGACGTAGCTCACCTTCGTTTTTTATACGACAAGTGGCAAATTGATAAACCAATGCGATGTAAGCATCCTTCAAATTACCGCACGAGACGTCATAAAGTGCATCGATCTATAGAGCTTCCTCGTCCGTCATGACGTATATTGGTTGTTGCGCATTTAGCAGTAATTGTGATAAACGTATATGTCAAAATTAACATGTCAAATTGTCAGCCGAGACCTGGCTTGTTCGTTAGCACTGATATACTGCTTTTGTTGCGGGAAGAGATTTTATGCAATTAGCTGGTAATTTTACATCATTACACGGGAGCTGCTGAACTTGTGCGCCATGTGTGACTGGGCATGGGCTGTAGTAGTGGTAGGCGTTGTAGTGGAGATGACTGTTGTAGCTTGAGATGTTGAAGATACTGTAGCTGCAGTTGTGGGCGTGGTTCTTGTCGTAGTAGGCGTTTGAGGTATAGTGGCAGTAGACGTGGTAGTAGTTGTGGCAGTAGACGTGGTGAATGTAGTAATGGACGTAGATGTAGTTCCAGAAGAGGCTGTAGATGTAGTGGCAGTAGACGATGTAGTTGTTGTGGCAAGAGACTTGATAGTAGTTGTGGCAGTAGACGTGGCGAATGTAGTAATGGACGTAGATGTAGTTCCAGAAGTGGCTGTAGATGTAGTGGCAGTAGACGTGGTAGTTGTAGTGGCAGTAGACGTGGTAGTAGTTGTAGCAGTAGACGTGGTGAGTGTAGTAGTAGACGTAGATGTAGTTCCAGAAGAGGCTGTAGATGTAGTGCCAATAAACGCTGTAGATGTAGTGTCAATAGACGATGTAGCTGTAGTGGCAAGAGACGTGGTAGTTGTTGTAGCAGTAGACAGGGTGAGTGTAGTAGTAGACGTAGATGTAGTGTCAATAGACGATGTAGCTGTAGTGGCAAGAGACGTGGTAGTTGTTGTAGCAGTAGACGTGGTGAGTGTAGTGTCAATAGACGATGTAGCAATAGTAGTGGCAAGAGACGTGGTAGTTGTTGTAGCAGTAGACGTGGTGAGTGCAGTAGTAGACGTAGATGTAGTGCCAATAGACGCTGTAGATGTTGTGGCAGTAGACGTAGTAGATGTTGTGGCAGTAGGCGTGGTGAGTGCAGTAGTAGACGTAGATGTAGTGCCAATAGACGCTGTAGATGTTGTTGCAGTAGACGTAGTAGTTGTTGTGGCAGTAGGCGTGGGGAGTGTAGTAGTAGACGTAGATGTAGTGCCAATAGACGCTGTAGATGTAGTGTCAATAGACGATGTAGATGTAGTGGCAAGAGACGTGGTAGTTGTTGTGACAGTAGACGTAGTAGATGTTGTGGCAGTAGACGATGTAGATGTAGTGTCAATAGACGCTGTAGATGTTGTGGCAGTAGACGTAGTAGATGTTGTGGCAGTAGGCGTGGGGAGTGCAGTAGTAGACGTAGATGTAGTGCCAATAGACGCTGTAGATGTTGTGACAGTAGACGTAGTAGTTGTTGTAGCAGTAGACGTGGTTAGTGTAGTAGTAGACGTAGATGTAGTGCCAAATGACGCTGTAGATGTAGTGTCAATAGACGATGTAGATGTAGTGGCAAGAGACGTGGTAGTTGTTGTGACAGTAGACGTGGTGAGTGCAGTAGTAGACGTAGATGTAGTGTCAATAGACGATGTAGATGTAGTGGCAAGATACGTGGTAGTTGTTGTAGCAGTAGACGTGGTGAGTGTAGTAGTAGACGTAGATATAGTGCCAAATGACGCTGTAGATGTTGTGTCAATAGACGATGTAGATGTAGTGGCAAGAGGCGTGGTAGTTGTTGTGTGACAGTGACGTGAGTTAGTTGTAGCCAATAGACGCTGTAGATGTTGTGGCAGTAGACGTAGATGTTGTGGCAGTAGGCGTGGTGAGTGCAGTAGTAGACGTAGATGTAGTGCCAATAGACGCTGTAGATGTTGTTGCAGTCGACGTAGTAGTTGTTGTAGCAGTAGACGTGGTGAGTGTAGTAGTAGACGTAGATGTAGTGCCAATAGACGCTGTAGATGTTGTTGCAGTAGACGTAGTAGTTGTTGTAGCAGTAGACGTGGTGAGAGTAGTAGTAGACGTAGATGTAGAGCCATTAGACGCTGTAGATGTAGTGTCAATAGACGATGTAGGTGTAGTAGTAGTAGTAGACGTGGTAGTTGTTGTGACAGTAGACGTGGGGAGTGTAGTAGTGAGTGAGTGGGTTTAGTTTTACGCCGCACTCAGTAATATTCCAGCTATATGGCGGCGGTCTGTAAATAATCGAGTCTGGACCAGACAATCCAGTGATCAACAGCATGAGCATCGATCTGCGCATTTGGGAACCGATGACAAGTGTCAACATGTCAGCGAGCCCGACCACCCTGACCACCCGATCCCAATAGTCGCCTCTTACGACAAGCATGGGTTACTGAAGATCAATATTCTAACCCGGACCTTCAGGGTAGAGCGCTGTAGTAGACGTAGATGTAGTGTCAATAAACGCTGTAGGTGTTGTGGCAGCAGACGTGGTAAATGTAACAGGCAGGCAAGGTGGTTGTAGAAGTTGACGCAGATGACGTGTAAGTAGACAGGGTAGAAGTAGTCGCCGTTGACGTTGTAGCTGTCTTAGAAAGCAGTGTTTGTGGAAGGGTAGTGGTTGGGGATGGCCGTGGCGGTGTGGTGTGGGGTGTCGTGCTTGAGAATATTTCGCTGTGTGTGTGTGCATGTGTGTGTGTGTGTATGTGTGTGTGTGGTTGTTGTACTAGTGTGTTTTATAGTGCTAGTGAAATACCATGCCGCAGTGAAGCATGGATACCCCACTCAGACTCATTATACTGACTCCGAGCCGACCAGTCCTTGATGTACCCGGTAATGCCGAGCGGCCAACAAGTACCATGGTTCGAACCCGCGACCTTCCGCTCTCGGGCGGACGCTCTATGGAGGAACTGTTTTGTTTGCTGACGATACCCATTGGCAAAACTCACGAACATATATCACCATATTGACATTCCATTGATAATATATCGGAGGAATCTGGTACCCGTTAAGAACGATGTTATTTAAACATTCATCAACAACAGTGGTTTAATGAAATTGACTATACTACTCAAACCGTGCCAATATGACTTACATGTTTTTTTAAAAAACAAAACAACACAGATCCTCAGCGGAAATCGATTGGACCGTTTGTTACCGAGATCCAGGCACCACGTGGGTCTTTCGTGCGGAGATAAGAATAATCTCCACTTTCTTACCTCACCTTCTTCCCATGATCCTCTTCGGTCTTCCCGACTATTATTGGTGCACGCGTCCCCTTTGGAAGCAGGCAGGGTCTGAGAAAGCACGCAGATAGCAGTAATGATTGTCGTTAGCTGTCAGTCAACTCGCTTGATGGTGATACATGAGCGTCTTTTGTGTTTTCCGCTATTAACTGTGGTAATGACGACATAATCTGTTGCAGTACATGTGTCACCATCAAGGACACATCCTGGTATAACAGAACTGGTCTAGATCGCTAGATTGCTGGGTCCCTTGTAGGACTATATTCCCGTGGTCGGCTGTGTAGTCACAGACAAATCTATGCTCTTGGGTTTGTTGGTTGTGGGCGTGGCGTGGCGGTGCGATGCGTTGCGTTGCGTTGCGTTGCGTTGCGTTGCGTTTCGGTGCGTTGCGGTGCGTTGCGGTGCGATGCGGTGCGGTGCGTAGCGGTGAGGTGCGGTGCGGTGCGGTGGGGTGGGGTTCGGTTCGGTTCGTTGCGTTGCGTTGCGGTTCGGTTCGGTTCGGTTCGGTTCGGTTCGTTGCGGTGTGGTTCGGTTCGGTTCGGTTAGGTGCGGCACGGTGTGGTGCGTAGCGTTGCGTTGCGGTGCGGTGCGGTGCGGTGCGGTTCGGTTCGGTTCATTGCGGTGCGGTGCGGTGCGGTGCGGTGCGGTCAGTGTACGTGTTTGGGTTTAGACGGTGTGGTGAGAGATTGGCACTGGCGCATCACCACGTTTTGTTAGAGGCAGGATATTATGGTCTGTTTCACAGTCCCTGAACAACATTATTTCCCCTTCATCCAAGCCCTTTCTGCAATGCGAAAGTCCTAAATGAAGCAAGTCTTCATTTCCTCAGGTTCAGGTTCTGAATCTCCCGACGCTCTGGGGTTCCTTTTTAATTTAAAATTATTTGTTTCTGTCATAATTATGACTATATTCAGATATTAAACATTAATCTACAACACACTGTGTGTATTTTCTATGTGGAGGGTGCCGAACGCTTATGTCCACTCGAGTTCATACCTCTTCTTATTCACGGAGGGGTGGTGGCACTCTCTGATTGTGGTACGAATTCTGATTCGCCTTTATTTAGCCTTGGTTTGTCTTCCCTTTTATGGTGGTCGATCTTAAAAGTATTAACCGTCAACCGGAAAGTGTCAGTTCAAGCTTTCCTTCCGCGCTTGGCTGACATTATTACACTGAGATGGTATTCAATTTTTTTTTTAACCAAACCTTACACCAACGCGTCCAGTACAGTATGGTGTTCATTTCTTACACTCTCTTTCCTATCATTCACTAAGATGCATACACGAAGGTGTCCATATAGTATGTTTAGGTGCCAATATAATGCCTCACACTTTCTACCTAACACTTGGTTACATATGTTATATTTGGAATTACACTTTCTTAGTGAGGTACAGATTCTAGTACTTTTTGGGGTGAGTCCCATCCGGGATTCGAACCCACACCCTCAGAGATGGGACTCACCCAAAAATGTACTAGAATCTGTACTTTACTAAGAAAGTGTAATCCCAAAATATAACATGTTACATTTGACCACTTTCTAAAATGACATTGTGTATTTCATAACACTTGGTTGTTCAAAAATAATACTTCGACATTTAGATATGTACACTTCAGCATGTATGTTTAAATGCGGAGTCCATTTTTACATTGTGTTTCAACGTCTGTACAATGTAATAATGCCATGAGACATACCCCTCAAACGTCCTTACTCTGCACCGAGGCATTCAGATATAACGCTAAAACTTCTATTTTTGCACTAAGGCTTTTAAATGTTCCACTTAGACGTATGTATATTAGATCTAACATATATTATATTTGGGATTATACTTCCTTTGTAAAGTACAGATTCTAGTACTTTTGTTGGGCTGAGTCCCATCCGGGATTCGAACCCACAGGCACCTAATCGCCAGCACACAAAGTCAGACGCCTAGACCGCTCAGCCACCGCGGCTTCCACGGTATATTAGATCGTTAGATATTACACCGTCTGCGCTTTAATATTACACTTAGATCACAATACACTTTTCTCAACACTAAGGATCACTGTGTTAGGTTCTGGCGTGTAACTGAACAGAACAGAACCGAAATTTTATTCTCAAAAAGCACATATAGTGACACAGAGAACCTGTAGCACATGACTCTGTGTCATATATCGCATGATAGAACATTTACAAGCTCGGTTTAGAAATAAAAAACGCCGATGTGTCCTATTTTAATTCAAGCTGCAAAAACATTTTTACAGTTTAAATGACAAACAGAATTAAAACAACTGTTTTGCAATGTGTGTCCGTGTATAGCGAACCAATGTAAAGCCATGACTCACAGCCAGCCTGCTGGATCGACAGTGACGCATTTCGTTCGTTTACGATCGTCTCGAATAACTTCGCTCATCGTGTAAAGGTCATCTTGACCCATAGGTCACGCTCTGCCCTTTGTGTGATTATCTGACAGGTCAAGTGCTCGTTGACATCAATTGTTTGCATGTGTGAACTACTCGTGAATATTTACATCTCCGTACAGGGTTTCACATGCTCGGTGATGTTCAGAGTTCCCACGACAGCATTTTATATCCCTCGACTGGGAAGAGACCACCCGTTTTATAACAATACACCTTTATTAAACAGAGTGTAATGACATCACGTGTGGACGGGACTGTTTGTTTCATCAGGTGATCAGAGGAATGGGCAAATATAGGCTGCAATAAACAATTAACGTGTAATTTACTCCCAGATGGATTATCAACTCCTGGTAGACGCCATACTAAGCTTCACAAAACGCCGGAGATGCATTCATGCACAGACACATTATGCAAACATCTCGCTGTAGTAAAGCCTGTTGACATATTTCCCTTCACCATCATCAATTTTAAATGTTGCCTATGATCATATACGATCACAGCGAACATATACGTATAAACTAAACAGTGTTCCCGGAGTCTCACTGTTGAATTGATTTCGTGCAAGCATTAGCATTGATTATAAAACTCCATAGCATCACTAATAAACTCAACATTTTCATCACCCATCTACAAATGACCTTGAACTTTGTGTTTGCAAATGAGAGTAGTCTCCCTTTGACGTAGTGGAAAGAAGTTAGAAATGTCTTCGTGCAAACCTATTCAATCTTGTGTCGTGAATCTTTCGTGATTCGAGGTTGCCCAAATGGTTAGCTTAAATAACGGTACTTTATCACTTCTAGTCAACCTCATTACCGATAAACCATCTGCTGGTTCAATGACGTCATATGGCCAACATGGCATGACGGTTTGAGTCTCACGGCTACCCTCGCCTACACTGAACCTACACTGAAGCAAGAGTTTGAAGCTGAATGCAGATGCCTTTTCTGAATATACATATAATATATATGCTTTTATTCAGAACTGGCATCTAATCTTCGATATAATCCTGCTGCGCACCGCACTGCAAGACCTTCACCTTCAGAGTACAATCTATGGTCGCATCATCAGCTACAGGTATCAGTTCTTGTCTGTCATACAGACGTTAGTGAACGTTTAATCGTTTTTTCCTACAGCGAGTTATATCACGGCGCATTGGCTTGATACGTATAGTGAGTGAGTGAGTTGGGTTCTACGCCACTTTTAGCAATATTCCAGCGATATCACGGCGGGGAACACCAGAAATGGGCTTCACACATTGTACGCATGTGGGGAATCGAACCCGGGTCTTCGGCGTGACGAGCGAACGCTTTAACCACTAGGCTACCCCACCGCCCCTGATACGTGGAAGGAAACCATGGAATGATGTTGATGCCGGACGCTTACCACTTTGCATTGTACTGACAAACCTGTAGAAACATTGTCAGGATGAGAACTGGCACGTCTAAGTAACGCAACAGTGAAGATCCGGGTTAAAATTGGTCTTCAGTAACCCATGCTTGTCGTAAGAGGCGTCTTACGGGATCGGGTGGTCAGGCTCGCTGACTTGGTTGACACATGTCATCGGTTCCCAAATGCGCAGATCGATGCTCATGCTGTTGATCACTGGATTGTGTGGTCCAGACACGATTTTTCACAGACCGCCACCATATAACTGGAATATTGCTGAGAGCGGCGTTAAACAACAAACCAACCAACCAAAGTAACCCACATCTGCAAAGCTAATTACAAGTCTGTTGATCAGTATTAATGAAGTTTTAATGTAGTTATATTTGTGGAATTCAAAATTGACATTTCAAACACGACAATATAAAGAAAAAACCCGACATCATGCGTTAAACGTGGCGCACCATAACAGAGAATGAAACTGACAAATGAAATACACACCGTGTGTCAATCTCAGTTGGTGGCATGAAATACATGACGGGTGTCAATATCAGCTGAGGATATATATTTCATATCGCACTGCATGGTCAGCAAGTAAGTGTACATATATATATACTGAACGACAGTCTGCAGCGATCTGGTGTCACAAAGCAATCACGTGACCTACACATCGTGCCATGCAATCCCGCTATTGACATGTGTAGGGTAGTCCCGTGGTGTATATTTCAGCTTATCATTACATCAATAACATATGATACGTTGGAAGGATATTGGATCAGGTTCGCCTGTTATCTCTCTCATCTCACCTGGAGCTGGAAGCAGATTACGAAACACTGCCGGCCAGCTGTGTCGTTGCTTTCGGATTAAATGGTTTCGGGAGACTATATTCCGATTTGATGAAGGGACACATACGTTTTGGTCAGACCACTATACGATACT